TTTTAAAAAAGATATATTATTTATTTTAAAGACAGAGTTACAGGCGGGGCGGGGGCGGGGGATATCTTTCATCCATTGGTTCAGAAGTGGAGCAGCCAGGCCTTGAACCGGCTCCCAAATGGGATGCCGGTGCTTCAGGCCAGGGCATTAACCCACTGTGCTACAGCGCCGGCCCCAGACTTTTCAAATGATGGAAGTGTTCCAGAACTGTACCACATGACAGTTACACAGTTTAATAACTTTACTAAATTCACCAAACTATAAAATAGCTGACTGTTAAGTATTATAATCATACCTTTAAAAAAAGCCAACAACAAAGAGCTAGACCTGTTTCATTTTGCCTAGCATATATCTTCGGCTATTTCATATAAAATACTAAAATCAAAATTCACTCAAAAGAAATGATTCCAGAATGACAGTAAAATGTGACTAATCCAGCACTTTATCTCCTTCTTGCTTCATTGTTTGTTATCAGAAGGATGGTGGGTTTTCTGATTATTTGAGTTTCCAGACATCTGAAGCTTATCCTTTTAATTTCTAGAGGTTATGTGAACTTAACTATTTAGAAATAGGGTTGGCTGAGCACTTGCTTTTGCAGCCTCTCGGTTATACTACCCTACAGATTTATTATTTTAGAAGAACAAATGTGCCTCAAGGCTGTTGACATCAGAGAGAGTTGCTTCATCCACACTAAATCATCCATGCCCATTCCGCCTGTTGCTTTCTTCGTTCCTCCCTTATTACTGTCACTGTGTTATTCTTAGGAATCTGACCTTCCTGATTTTCACTCTTCTTTGGGCTAGAAGCCAGATCAGTGACTTTGTTCATGTTCTAAGTAAGTTGGAGGTGACTAGGGAGGTATGAGGGAGTGGTCCTCTTTCACAGAAGCATGTGAGACTTCAATACATTACTTTTGATTGCTCCTTAGCTTTTCCTGGAAAGATAACCTTGGCAGATAGTGACTTGAAGATAAATGAAGCACTGCTGTGCTATGAATACCATAGTTTAATTCTTGGCCAGTTTGCTAGAGACAGAGTAAACAATCCCCTCTATCACTCTCAGACTCTTATTCTTGACATACCCTAATAGCAACAAGATTTTCAACTGAAATACTGATTCCTGGGTCCAGCATTGTGGCGTAGCCAGGAAGGCCGCCAACTGCAGTGCCAGCACCCATATGGTGCTGTTTTCGAGTTCTGGTTGTTCACTTCCAATCCAGCTCCTTGCTAATGCACCTGGGAAAGCAGTGGAAGATGCACCAGTGCTTGGGCCCCTGCATCCACGGGGAGACCTGGAAGAAGATCCTGGCTCTGGATTTGGCCTGGCCCAGCCCTGCTGTTGCAGCCATTGGGGAGTGAACCGTGAATGAAAGATCTCCCCTGTTCCCTCCCCCAGCCGTCTCTCCTCTCTCTGTAACTGACTTTCAAATAATAAGTGAATCTTTTTTTTTTTTTTAATTTTTATTTTTATTTTTTATTTATTTATTTGAAAGTCCGAGTTACACAGAGAGAGGAGAGGGAGAGGCCTTCCACTCGCTGGTTCACTCCCCAGGTGGCCCCAACGGCTGGAGCTGTGCTGATCCGAAGCCAGGAGCCAGGAGCTTCTTCTGGGTCTCCCACGTGGGTGCAGGGGCCCAGGGATTAGGGCATCTTCCACTGCTTTCCCAGGCCACAGCAGAGAGCGGGAGGGAAGGGAGCAGCCGGGTCTTGAACCCGTTGCCCATACGGGATGCTGGCGCTTCAGGCCAGGGTGTTAACCCACTGTGCCACAGCGCAGGCCCCGAAAGTGAATCTTTTTTAAAAAAAAAAAAATACAGGTTCTTGTCTGCGATCTGATCCAGAATTCCACTTCTTGGTATATACCTAAAAGAATTTAAAGCTGGGACGCAAACTTGTATATAGCCTCTTGTTCACCATAGTTAAAGAGTGGCAGGAACCTATTAGCATGTCCATCAACAGATGAACAGAGAAGCAAAATGTGGAATATACTTGCGTGTGTGGAATTATTATTGGCTTTAAAGAATGAAATTCTGACACATACAACATGGATGAACCTGGAAAACATTGTGCTAATAAGCCAGAGACAGAGGGACAAATGTAGTGTCTGAATTACTCACATTCATAGAGGCGGGAAGTGAAACAGAGGTTACCAGGGACTAGGAAAAAAAGAGGGAATGGGGAATTGTGTTTGATGCATGGTGGTTATGTTTGTAGCTTGTGGATGTGCTTGGTGTCGCTGACTTATGTTCTTAGGTGTTTCAAATGGTAAATGTTATGTATATAATACCACAATAAAAAAGGACAGTTTGTTCTGCTTTTGGTCAGACTTCAAGACTGTAGTAAATATTTTAGATAGCTGTCTCTGTCTCTCTCTCTTTTAAGATTTACTTATTTTTTTAAAAGACGGAGTTTTCAGAGCGGTGGAAGCAGAGAGAGAGGTCTTCCATCCACTGGGTCATCCCCTAGTTGCCACAACGGCCAGAGCTGGGCTGATCCGAAGCCAGGAGCCAGGAGCTTCTTCTGGGTCTCCCAATAGATTCAGGGGCCCAAAGACTTAGCTATGTTTGCTTTCCCAGGCACAGTGGCAGGGAGCTGGATTGGAATAGAGCAGCTAGACTTGAACTGGTGCCCATATGGGATGCCAGTGCTGCAGGCTGCAGCTTTACCCACTACACCACAGCGCTGGACCCTTTAGACATCTCTTTGGGAATAGATTTGGTCACGACCATGATATGCCTATCACCAGGGAGGCCTTCCCAGAGGTAGAGAATGTCATCTGCATCAAATCTTTGCCTGCTGAGAATTAACTAGCAAGTTTTTCATATTATTTCCCACCTCGGCTATCCATCCTGGATATGGTTTTCTTTCGGAAAACATGGAATTTGCTGAACTTTGTAAGCAGGAAGGAATTATTTTTATAGGTCCTCCCTCATCTGCAATTAGAGACAGGGTATAAAGAGGTAAGAATTTATATCTTCATAAATATAACCATATGAAGGTCAATTGAAATTGTTTTTTCCCCCCTACAATGTTTAAGAGGGTTATGTTTATTTAGACTGCGCTGTATTTGTGTTTTTCTTGTATAACAATTCACAGAATCAGAGCGTCTTGTTTTAACTCCAAAGCACTTCCAAATCCATAATGGCCGCTGCTGGAGTGCCTGTGTGGAAGGGTATCACGGCGAGGAGCAGTCGGACCAGTGCCTGAGAGAACACGCCGCGAGAATCGGTTACCCCTGTCATGATTAAGGCTGTTCGGGGTGGAGGAGGCAAGGTGAGGTGTGGGGTGTTGCTGCTGGCCGTTTCCGACGGTCTTTGCTTTACGTGTGTGGTCACCGCTGTCTTCTCTCTCTCAGGGCATGAGGATCGTTCAGTCGGCAGAAGAATTTCAGGAGCAGTTGGAGTCGGCGCGGAGAGAGGCTAAGAAGTCTTTCAACGATGACGCTGTGCTCATCGAGAAGTTTGTGGACACGCCAAGGTGCCTTGAGTTGGTTTTTCTGACTGGTTTTTAAAATTAAATTTGAAAGCAATGCATTCATAGTCTATGATGTAAATTCTGATAGCAGATAAGTGCTCAGGTTCCTCAGTCCACCCATGCTGTAACCAGTATCACACTATGAGTGTAGACTCCCAAGCAGTTTCTGTGTGAATAGAAGCCAACACAGTGGCCCTTCTGTGTCAGTGTTCCACATCTGTGGATCCAGCCAACCACAGATGAAAAATAGTCAGCAAAATATGTCAGTAACTTCTAGAACTTGAGTATGCCATGCACCCGAGTACTGCATGGAAAACGTAAATGAGTGGTATGTAGGCGTGTATTAGGCATGTATGCAATCATGAGATGATTTGAAGTACACAGGATGAGATGCCAGGGTGTGAAATCCCTTACAGTTATATACCATGTAACATTGCAATCAATGGTGGGCCACATATATAACAGTACATACCATAAAGGTAGTGCATAGGTTTGTGTAGATAGACTGTAAGATGTTCTCACAACAATGAAATTGCCTAACGACTCACTTCCCCAGAATATATCCCTGTCATTAAGTGACATAAGAACGTACTACTAACCATTTTGTGTAAGAGGTCTGAATATCTGTGATCTTGGTATATGAGGGGGTGTCTAGAACCAAATCCCTGTGGTTATTGAGAAATGGCTATATTTACCCATGTGTTTGCACTATATATACACATATATTATATATATGCATATATATACACACATAACACAGAAAACAAAAACATACAAAAGAACAGTGATAGAATCTATATACTAATATCATAGACATCTTTTCATGTCAGTAGATACAGATATTGGTTCTTTTATTGGTGCCTTAATGCTTCCATGATATTAATGTACCACTAAATTTACAAATTTTTCAATATAAAGAAATATTGAATAAATTAAGCTATATTTATAAATTTTATAAGTTTTGAGGTGTTAAGAAAATCAAAATAGATAACTAAATTTGATTATGTCATTAATAATACTAACAGCCAATGCTTATATTTGCCATGTGCCAGATTCTGTATCTTACAGATACTAAGTAGTGTTGCTGTCCTTCCAGTTCTGAGTTAGCCCCACAGCAACTCCATGGATAGGTTCCCATCAGAGTGGTCATGTTAATTCTCTGATATAACCAGCTGCTAACGTGGTGAGACTGGGATGTGAACCCAGGCAGCCTGACTTCAAAGTTCAGACTCTAGCCTCAGGTCTAAACTGCTTGTCTAGGTACCCCTTATAGCAAATGCCTTGGGTACTACTAATTTTTTGTTTGTTTTGGAATTTTTTTTCATTTTGTTTTGTAACATAAGATATTGATTAGAAAGTTTCCTATTTTGTGGGTTTTGTAGCAATTTAAAAGTATGCATATAACTTGTAAGTCAAATGAAAAGAATAATTCGTTTGGGAAGCATGAGCAGAAAAGGCTTTATTTTGAAGGTAATGAACTTGAGGCTTCAGGCCCTGCCCTTGCGTGAGCCTCTTCCAAGACTCTGTACCTAATTTTGGATTTGTAGTTTTGCATTCTTCTCCTTAGAAATACCTCCAAATTGTCTTTGAGACCCTACAAAACTTGGAACTGTCTCTGAGCATGGCGCAGTAATAGGAAACTCAGCTAGGGTTTGATAATAAAAAAGATGTCAATCTCAAAATATGTCTGCCAATTGGTGGAACACAGGATAGGCTAGTTAGTGTGCAGTAAGGCAACACAGAGAGATCTCAGGAAACTGAAACATTCTTCCACGTCATTTTGGAAAAAGAGAGTAGGCTAACCATCCACATTGGCCTGCTTTTGAGTCAGAATTGTTGTGGAGACACCAGCTAGCTATTTCAATGACTATAACTTATGTTCTAAACACTCTCTGAAGATGTAAAATTGGTCTAGTCATGGAATGTATCCATCTGTGGGTGCACTTTATAATTTATTCCCAATAGCTGGAAAGCTCCTGAGACTAAGGACCTTGTCATGTGTTTCTTTTTTTTTTTTTCTAAATTACTTGGTAAACTGCTTACCTCGTGATAGGCATTGGTGATATTTTTGAGATATAGAAGTAATATGAATGCAGTATAAACTTTTAGAAAACCAAGTAACCCCTAATCTCATCCACCTAACGGAAATATTAACAGTTCTGTATATATATAATAATTTTGACTATTATGCGTCATAGCGTTTATACTTTATCTCCTAAGTATTACCTTTGGGTTAATAGGATGCCAGAAGACTGTCACGATGGTGATCCGCTAACTGAGCCAGGCAGATGCCACGATTTTTACAGGTCAGACCTACGAAGCTTCTCTGAAAGCACACTCTTTCAGAGGAGAAAAAGAAATCAGCTTCTCCCCTCACCTCATCTTCAATACATATTCTAGATTAAAATGGAAATAGGAAACTAAAAACATCAGAACTCTTAGAAAGTGGCAAAGACTCCTGATAGAGTGTAGCTGCATCTGTCTGTCTCTACCTAGCTGGCCAGGCTCCAGCAACCTCTGAATTGGAGCAGCTGGGGTTTGTTGCACCTTGTGGTTCTCAGATACTTCTAGATGCTGTGGCCCTGAACCTCTAAGTTAGGTCAGTCAAGGAAAGGACAAGAGCCAGAGCGGTTGGATGAAGACAGAAGTCATAATATCAACCTTTGTTGAAGTTCCCTTGCAAGCTGCCAAAGGGGGAGTGTTCCCTACTTCTGAGACCAGCCAGGAGCTGCACTGTGCTCTCGGGGTGGCCCCCACATCTTCCCTTCATAACCTAGAGTCCCCTCCTTGCAGCTGCTAAAAGGTAAGGGAGAGTCCACAGAAGTGGTAGAATTTACAAGTGGAATTTAAAAATGATCAGTTCACCTCAACATGCAGAGAGCTTGAAAGTCGTCACTCACATTCAAAAAGCAAGAAAAAAGCTGAACAAAATCAAGGTCAGTGACGTTTAGACCTGCGGAGAATCAAGGGCCGAGAACACAGCACCCCTGTAAAAGCCAGCCAGGCGTGTGAGTCCAGCGGTCACGGTGCAGGTCAGCTTCCCTGGAGCGTAAGCTACAGGAGGCAGAGTACTGAGGTGGGATTCGGGCCAATGCTGGAGGCTGAGTGTGCACTAGCTGGGATTGGGAACTCCAGGAGGCTCTCGAATTAGGAGGCCCCCATTTTCCTGAGCTGTTCCCCCAGGAACCTCAGCAGGTTCTCATCAGTGAAAATCTGAAGGAACAATCCCCCGAGGCTTTGGGGCAGAGGGAGAGGGGTAGGTAGCCATTTGGAAAAGGCCTGAGCATTCCAGCTCCCTAAGCGCGGGTGTCCTGCCTGAAGAGAACTGCCAGCAGAGCCTGTTCCTTTTCTCTCTGGTGCTGGCAGTGAGACTCCTCTAACCCTCTCTCCCCTTCCCGTCTCCCCTAAGTGGGGAGAAGAAAAAACAGACTAAGGGACACAGGCCTACCAACAGACTAAGGGACACAGGCCTACCTACAGACTTCCGTATCCAGCAAAATGACCCTTCAAAACAACAAGGAGAAATAAAGACTTTCTTAGGGGAATTTGCCACCAGTAGACCTGCCTTGTAAGAAATATTCAAAGAAGTTCTCTGAGAAAAGAGGGAAAATGGATACAGGTCAGAAGCTGGGATCTACACGAAGGAAGGAAGAGAATTGGGAGGAAGAGAAGTGAAGATAAATAGAATTTCTTGTTTTCTTATTGTGAGTTGGCCTCACAGCGGTTTGTTCAGAGTCTTAGTGGCTGCAGTGTCTTTGGTGATGACAGCTTCTAGACAGTAAAAAAGAGAAGGAAATGTAGAGAAGGCAAACCCAAAAGGAAGAACTTGACCCCAGGTTTTGTCAAGAGAATGTGTTGGACGTGTTGGAAAATTTTAAAAATGGAGCATTCAGGGAAGATGGTATGTCAGAGGACCGTGGTTACATGAAGTGTGCTTCATGAGGGCATCAATGGCAGTGGCCCATTGTGCCAGGACAGGACATTTACAGGACTTCCTGATATTTTTATTTCTTCTAAGTTTGATTGTTTTTAAAAGTCAGCAGACAAACATTTGCTGCATACTCACTTCTGTACTGTGGTGGTGAATATGTGAGGTGAGCTGCAATGGGAACAAATCAGAATAGACCTGCGGAGAGGAGAGCACTCGTGTTTACTGGGTGGTCTGTGTTGGTCTGATTTCCCAAAGTGTTATGTTTAATCACTATTAACGTAATTTTTCATAATTTGACTATTTTATATTAACATGAAAGTACCTATTTATGATTAAATGTTAGTATATTCTAACAATACTAATGATCTATATATATTATATCATCTAATTCTTCTTAATGCTTTTGTGAATAAGCAAGGTAAATGAACATAATGATTGCGCATACTGATGGGATACAGTGATATTTCAATATAGTTACACAGTATGTAGGATCAGATGATAAGCCATTTTAATTTGTCTTCCATAGTTTATAAGAGTTTAAGAAAATATGGGTTAGAGATGGGCTTTGGCCTAGCAGCTGGAATCTCAGGTTAGAATGCATGGGTTTCAAGATCCAGGTGCCACCCCCAGACTCTAGCTTCCTGCTAATGTGGACCCGGGAGGTAGCAGTGATGGCTCAAGGGGTAGTATTCTTGCCCTCCAGGTGTCAGACCTGGGTTAACTTTCCAGCTCCCAGATTCCCCTTGGCCCAGTCCTACCTTTTGTGGGCATTGGAGGTTAAAATATTGGATAGAAGCTCACTCTCTCCCTCTCTCTCTCTCGAATAAACTAATTTAATAAAACCCATTTATAAAAACATTTTCATTGACCTTTTGAGAATATATGAAATGTGACTATAATTTGAACTTTTTTCCAAGATTTATTTATTTTACTTGGAAGTCAGAGTTACAGAGAGGCAAAGGGAAAGAGAGAGAGAGAGAGAGAGAAAGAAAGAAAGAAAGAGAAGATGTCTTCCAACTGCTGGTTCACTCCCCAAATGGCCGCAACAGCCAGAACTACACTGATCCGAAGCCAGGAGCCAGGAGCTCCCTCCGAGTCTCCCAATTGGATGCAGGGGCCCAAGCACTTGGGCCATTTTCTACTGCTTTCCCAGGCCATAGCAGAGAGCTGGATCAGAAGTGGAACAGCTGGGACTTGAATTGGTACCCATGTGGGATGCCGGCACTGTAGGCAGCAGCTTTAACTGCTACACCACAATGCTGGCCCCTATAATTTAAATTTTTTAAAAAAGATTTATTTATTTGAAAGAGAGGGTGATACCTTCCATCCCACTGGTTCACTCCCCAAGTGGCTGCAGCAACCAGGGCTGTACCAGGCAGAAGTCAGGAGCTTGGAACTCCATCTGGGTCTCCAACATGGGTGGAAGGGGCCCCAGGTCCTTTGGCCATCTTCTGTTTCTTTACCAGGAGTGTTAACAGAGAGCTGGATTGAAAATGGAGTAGCCAGGACTCCAACCAACTCTCATAGGGGGTGCCAGTGTTACAGGCAGCGGCTTAACCTGCTGTGCCACAATGCCAGCCGCTATAATTTTAAATTTTTGTGTATCTCTATATATCACTCATTTTCTTGACATTTCTTCTTTTTGTGATACCCCTACTGTGAGTCTCTTATTTTTTTTCCCTTTTTTTGCTTTCTAGTCATTTTATATATATACTATCTTACAAATGGAAACTGTCATCGAGTTTTCACAAGTCTATAGGTCTGTTTCTAACTCCATAATCTCTATTTTGAGGTAAACACATGACTATCTGATCTTACTTAAAAATAAAATGGAGGCCGGCACCGCAGCTCACTAGGCTAATCCTCCGCCTTGTGGCGCTGGCACACTGGGTTCTAGTCCTGGTCGGGGCACCGGATTCTGTCCCGGTTGCCCCTCTTCCAGTCCAGCTCTCTGCTGTGGCCCGGGAGTGCAGTGGAGGATGGTCCAAGTACTTGGGCCCTGCACCCCATGGGAGACCAGGAGAAGCACCTGGCTCCTTCCTTCGGATCAGTATGGTGCGCCGGCCGCAGCGCGCCGGCTGCGGCTGCCATTGGAGGGTGAACCAATGGCAAAGGAAGACCTTTCTCTCTGTCTCTCTCTCTCCCTGTCCACTCTGTCAAAATAAATAAATAAATAAATAAATAATTTTAAAAAATAAATAAATAAAATGGAGGGAGCCTGGTCACTGTGGCCAGTGGTTTGATTTAATGAATCTGGTGTTTATCACCCTTAGTAAAGGATATTCGCATATGTTTGCTTTTGAACAGGCATGTAGAAGTCCAGGTGTTTGGTGATCACCATGGCAACGCTGTGTACTTATTCGAAAGAGACTGCAGTGTGCAGAGGCGCCATCAGAAGATCATTGAGGAGGCCCCAGCGGTAAGCGCCTTGTAAAGAAATGTGTAGGCTTCCCTGCACTGGAGACCTCATCCACTCTCACTTTCACATCAGAATCTTGGATGTTAGTGTCACTCTCCAGAGTCCTGCTGGACGACTGCTTCCCAGCCTCACTGTCCTGTTCCGATGGGGCTGGACACCACAGGGCCACGTTCCTTCTGGACAGACTCTGGGAAAATCTACCCTGACCCAAGTAGCTGGGAGTGAGCAGCCATGTAGAGACCTTTCGATGCACGTTTTAAATTGCAATTAACTAGTATTAATTCTAGGCATGCGTGGAATGGTCTGGTTAATTGAATGCATTTTGTATAAAGAAGAGTCTTATGTTTTAACTGCTGTTTCAGATGTTCCTAAAAATATATTAGTCCTCTTCCTGCCTGCAGGTTATACAGTAAAAAATTGAGGATAGCTCTCGTTTGGTGACTTTGGCCCCCCAACAGTAATTGTTTTCATCTCTCTGAACCTTCCTCATCCTTGGTTTTGGTTGTTATTTGGGTTAAGGCCTCCTACTAGGACTGCCTATTTTCAGATTCAAGTTTTTGGAGATTGCTACTGCCGTGGGTTCTTGTCCAAGGTTATATACATGTTTTATTGATATGTATTTCCAAAATGCCACAGATCTGAGAATTCTGGCTAATCACTTTGTTTCTCTTTTAATGTATTCAAAATTTAATTTCTGTTGCAGAGTATATAATACTGTTTGAAGTAAATGTTGATAATTTCAGTAAACCCTTATTTAAACAGAGATTGCTTCAATATATATCTGTAGAGCACTCTTTTAAAATGTTAAAAACTTCACTTATTGACATGTTTCTTTTAATCAAACTTTCTTGATTAACTTGGAATCTTAAAGCTTCCCATTATTCCAAGATAATGATTGGATCAGCATGCTGTATCATTCTGAAAGAAAATGGGATTACAGAAAATTTTCATATTGATTCATGTAATTGTAAGTGGGAATATAGTTACGGTAGTTATATAGGTACAAGAGACAAGGATTTGTAATTATGCTAAGTAGTATCTGTGATTCATGGAAATGATTAACAGAATGATTAAACAGTGATATATTGACAGTTAAACTGGAGTAAGACAATGTGCCTTGGTGAAGTGGATAATGTTAGCTTTTTATCTTTGTCTTTTTAATGCAATATTTAGTACATGGAAATATCATATTGTATGTTAATGAAAATTTCTAGTTAGGCAAACTTCAAGTGGAGATTTATTTTAAATATTTTCTTCATAGCCTGGTATTAAACCTGAAGTAAGAAAAAAGCTCGGAGAAGCTGCAGTCAGAGCTGCTAAAGCTGTGAATTACGTTGGAGCAGGTATGATTTGTTATAATTTACTTCTAACAGAAGATATAAAACAATATGTTTCAAAAGGCAAGAGAAAAATAAATTTTGAGTTTGACCATAGCCATGGGAAGAAAAACAGTAATTTAAATTTTTATTTATTTATTTGAATGGCATGAAGACTGAGATCATCCACCTGCTGGTCCACTCCCCAAATACCTACAGGAGTGAGGACTTGGGCTGGCATTTGTGGTGCAGAGGGTTAAACCACTGCCTCTGACATCAGCATCTCATATGCTTTTGTTTGAGTCCTGGCTGCTCCACTTCCAACTCAGCTCCCTGCCAATGGCCTGGGAAGCAGCAGCAGATGGTCCAAATGCTTGGGCCACTGCACCCATGTGGGGACCTAGATGAAGCTACTGGCTCCTGGATATTGCAGCCATTTGGGGACTCAATCAGTGGATGGACGATCTGTTTCTCCCTCTCTCTCTATAACTTTGTTTTTCAAATAAAAAAAATTAATTTTTAAAAAAAGAGTAAGGGCCATTATCAGGGGCCTGGATCAGAAGTAGGAGCAACCAGGATTTGAACTGGTACTCAAATGGGATGCTGGCATCACAGGCAGCAACTTAACCTAACTGCTGTGCCACAGTGCCACCCCCACATACATATTTGAAATAAAGAGTTCACCAAACAGTACTTGCTGTAATTATATATGATGAGTTTTTATATATTTTGATTCTATTTATAATAATATCACTGAATTGATTTTTTTCACTTTTTAAACATTAATAAATTTTAGAGCAATTTTTATATTCGTAGCAAAGCTGAGCAGAAAGTACAGAGTTCCTATGTAATTCCTCCCCACACTCCCCACATGCCACACACACACACACACTCCAGCATTATCAACATCTGTGCATCAGAATAGTTCATTTGTTACAATAGATGAGCCTATGCCAACACACCATTACAATCCAAATTCGAAGTTTGCATCAGGGTTCACTCTTAGTGTTGTACAGCCCATGGGATTTGTCAAACGTATAATGGTATGGATCCACCACAATAATATGATATGCAGCAGTTTCACTGCCCTAAATTTCCTCTGTACTCTGCCTACTCGTCCCTCTGTATCCCCTAAACTCCAGCAACCACTAATCTTTATTTTTTTTCCTTTAAAGATTTATTTATTTAATTGAAAGGCAGAGTTACAGAGAGGAAGAGAGAGAGAATCTTCTATCCACTGTTTTACTCCCCAAATGGCTGCTAGGCCTGGAGCTGGGCTGATCTGAAGCCAGGAGCCAGAAGCTTTTTCCAGGTCTCCATGCAGGGGCAGGGGCCCAAGGACTTGAGCCATCTTCTACTGCTTTCCACGCCATAGCAGAGAGCTCGATAGGAAGTGGAGCAGCCGGACCACCTACCGGCGCCCATATGGGATGCTGGCACTGCAGGCAGTGGCTTTACCCGCTACGCCACAGCACTGACCCCAGCAACCACTTATGTTTTTACTAGCTCCATAGTTTTGACTTTTCCAGAGTGTTATGTAGTTGGAATCATATAGTGTCTAGCCTTCTCATATAGCCTCTTTTTTTTTTTATTTAAGGAAACTTCATGTATTTCATATATACAAATTTAGGAACATAGAGATTCTTCCAACCCTCTCTCCCTCCCTCTTCCATTCCCATTCTTATTTTTTTACAAAGACCTAGTTTCAGTTAACTTTATGCTCATAAGATGAACCCTACACTAAGTAGAGCGTTCAAAAATAGTATGAAGAAAAAACAAAGAAAAACAAAAAACATTGTTCCTCAACAGTCAAGACAAGGACTGTTCAGAATCCTCACATCTCAAAGTGTCAATTTCACTCCTATAGATTACCTTTTAGATATTCTATTAGTTACCACAGATCAGGGAAAACATATGGTATTTGTCAGACAGCCTTCTTAGTAATATGCATTGATGTTTTCTCCCAGTCTTTTCATGGATTGAGAGCTCATTTCTTTGTGACAATGAATAATATTCCATTTTCCAGATGTGTCAGAATTTATCCCTTTATCTACTAACAGACATCTTAATTGTTACTTAATTTTGACAATTATAAATAAAGATGCTATAAACTTTCATGTACAGGTTTTTCTTTGGATGTAATTTTTCAATTCATGTGTGTAAATTCCAAGGAATGTGATTGATGGATCATATGATAGTAGTATTTTTAGTTTTGGAAGAGACTACCAAACTGTCTTCCAAAATGGTTGTAGCATTTTATATTCCAACCAACAGTGAATGAGGATTTCTGTTAACTCCAGCATTTGCTATCTATGTTTTGGATTTTGATAATTTTCTATCATTTTTGTTTTAATTTGTACTTTTATTTGATGTTGAATATCTCTTCATCTACTTTTTTCCATCTGCATATCTTCTTTGATAATGTGCTTGTTCATGACTTTTGCCCATTTTTAAATCTAATTGTTTATTTCTTATTGTCAAGTTCTGAACAACAGTCTTTTACCAGATGTGCCTTTTGGAAACACTGCCTCTCACTCTGAGACCTGTTTTCTCATTCTCTTGATATTGCTGTCACAGAGCAGGGTTTTTTTTTTTTTTTTTTTTTTTTTTTTTTTTTTTTTTTTTTTTAACTTCAATGGGGCCAACTGATTAATTCTTTCCTTCATGGGTTGTGCCATACAGTTTGTCTAGATATTCTCCTTTGTTATCTTCTAGTGTTGCATACATTTAGGTGTATTATCCATTTTGAGTTAATTTTATGAAAGGGTGTAAAGTTAGTGTGTAGATTTATTTATTTTTATTTTTTATTTTTTTGCCTATGGATGTTTGCTCCATTGTTTAGCCTTCATTCCTTTGTCAAAGATCAGCTGAGCTTAGGGCAGACATTTAGCCTAGCAGTTACATCAGTGGTTGAATTAACCCCGTGCCATGTCAGGGTACCTGGTTCACTACCCAACTCTGGCTCGTGGCACCAACTTCCCGCTAATGCAGACCCTGGAAGTAGCAGTGATAACTCAGGCATTTGAATTCCTGCCACTCACATGGGAAGCCTGGATTGAGTTCCCAGCTCCCAGCTTCTGCCAAGTCAGTCCCAGCCGTTGACTGTATTTGGGGATAAACTAGCAGATGGGAGCTCTGTCTGTCTAGTCTCGAAGTTTTAAAAAGCATTAGTTAAATATACTGATATAGGTCTATTTCTGTGCACTATATTCTGTTTAATTAATCTTTTGTCTATTCTTGCAGCAATACCAAGCTGTTTTGATTATGGTGGCTTTTAGTAAGTTTTGAAGTAGGGTCATGTCATTCCTCCAACTTTGTTCTTTTCCTTTATTCTGAAGTTGGCTACTTTGGGTCTTTTGATTTTCTCTATAAACTTTAGAAGCAATTTGTTGGTATCCGCAAAATAGTATGCTGGTATTTTGATTGGACTCCACTGAATTCATAGATCAAGTTGGGGAGAACTGATGTCTTGACAATATTGAGTCTTCTTGTCCATCACCATGTAATATTTCTCTGTTTTTAGTTTCACTAATTCATTCATTAGAATTTTATAGTGGTCCTCCTAAAGATCATGTACATGTTTTATCAGATTTACAGTTAATATTTTGGTGCTAACATAAATAGATATTTTGTGTTTTTAACTTCAAATGCCACTTGTTCATTTCTGGTATTGGGAAAAAATTGACTTTTTAAAAATTATTTATTTCAGAATTACAGAGAGAAAGAGACAGAGAGAGAGAGGGATCTTCCATCTGCTGGTTCACTCTCCAGATGGCCCCAATGAGCTGGGGTTGGCCCAGCCCAGCCAGGAGCCAGGAGCTTCTTCCAGGTCTCCCACATGGGTGGTAGGAGCCAAGGCACTTGGGCCATCTTTCACTGCTTTTTCCCATATCATCAACAAGGAGTTGGATTGTGAACAGCTGGAATACAAAACAGTGACCATATGGGATGCTAGCATTGTAGGTGGTGCCTTTACCCACTATGCCACAATGCTAGCCCCCCCAAAATTATCTTTTATGTATTAATCTTATATTCTGAAATGTTGTTATAATTTCCATTTGTACCAGGAGGATTTTTTTAATAAGTTCATTTGGATTTTCTACATAGATAATCAAGTGGTCTGAGAACATAGACAGTTTTATTTCTTCTTTCCTACTCTATATTCAGTTTTCTTTCCTTTTCTTAACTTGTTGTATGTAGTGTGAGGTTGGAAGGGAGTGGTGAGAGGGAGTGTCTCCTTTTATTCCTAATCTTGGTGGGAAAGCTTCTCGTTTCTCACCATTAAGTATGATATTAACTGTAGAGTTTTTGTAGATTTCTTTATCATGTTGAGGAAATTTCCCTCTGTTTTTGGTTTATTGAGAGCTTTATTGTGAATAAATGTTGGGTTCTGTCAAATGCTTTTTTGCATCTATTGAAATGATCAAATATTTTTCTTCCTTAGCCTATGATATGGTGGAGTATATTAATTGATTTTTAAATATTGAACTTGCCTTATACCTGAGGTAAATTCTACTTCGTCATGATGTACATTCATTTTAAATGTTGTTGGGTTCAACTTGCTAATATTTATTTATTTAAAGATTTATTTATTTATTTGACAGAATTACACAGAGAGAGGAGAGGCAGAGAGAGAGAGAGAGAGAGAGGTCTTCCATCCGATGGTTCACTCCCCAGTTGGCTGCAATGGCTGGAGCTGCACCAATCCAAAGGCAGGAGCCAGGAGCCAGGAGCTTCTTCCAGGTGCAGGGGTCCAAGAACTTGGGCCATCTTCCACTGCTATCCCAGGCCATAGCATAGAGCTGGATGGGAAGTGGAGCAGCCGGGTCTCGAACTGGCACCCATATGGGATGCCGGTGCTTCAGGCCAGGGCGTTAACCCACTGTGCTACAATGCCCGCCCCATCAACTTGCTAATATTTATTATTGTGTTGGGGATTGTTACATCTGTCAGTGTTCCTGAGACATACGAGCTATGGTTTTCTTGTAATGTCTTTGTCTGGTTTGGGTATTAGAGTGATGCTGGCT